CGACAAGAAGGCTTCCTGGGTCTGGGGACATCGGGAAGAACGAGCATTCCAACAAGTAAAAGACCTCTTAACCTCAGATGCTGTATTAATGCAGTATAACGAGACTTTGCCTTTAACTGTCACCTGCGACGCCTCACCGTTTGGAGTGGGAGCCATCTTAAGCCACGTCCTCCCAAACGGCAATGAGGCACCTATTGCTTTTTTCTCCAGGACCTTATCAAAGACTGAAAGAAACTATAGCCAACTCGATAAAGAGGCTCTCGCTATTGTGTCTGCCATTAAGCGTTTCCATGAGTATGTATATGGAAGACCATTTGCCATAATCACCGATCACAAACCATTGCTTGGCATTTTAGCGGGAGACAAACCAACTCCCCACATTTTATCGCCAAGAATGACACGTTGGTCAGAGTTTCTAGCCGCATACGATTATCAACTGCGACACCGCCCGGGGAAAGCCATTCCCCACGCTGACGCCTTGAGTCATTCCCCGCTACCTGAAGCCATCGACGATCCAGCTCCAACCCTAACTGCACTCCAAATTGAAACTCTTCCCTCACCACCGCTGACTGCACGAGACATCGCCACAGAAACAAAACGGGATCCTGTTTTGGCACGAGTCCTCAGCTGGGTGGAACGAGGTTGGCCTGACAACGAGTTCAACGACACCTTTGCGCCTTTCAAACATCGGCAGACAGAACTATTCTCTCAAAAGAGCTGCATTTTGTGGGGAGACAGAGTCGTCATCCCAGAGAAGCTACAACATAAAGTTTTAAAACTATTACATGATAGTCATCCAAGCATAGTGCGAATGAAGGCACTGGCAAGAAGCTACGCGTGGTGGCCAGGTATAGATAAGCAGATAGAAGCCTGGGTGGCCACATGTAGCAAGTGCCAGGAAATTTGCGCTGCCCCACCAAAAGCAACTCCAACTGAGTGGGAAGCACCTCGCGGTCCCTGGTCCCGCATCCACATCGATTTTGCGGGACCCACAAAAGGGCACACTTTTCTTATAACAGTGGATGCCTATTCCAACTGGCTCGAGGTCCACAAAATGAAGAGCACCACCACAGAAGCAGTCATTAAAAAATTGAATAAATTATTTGCTACGCACCGATTGCCGGACGTTTTAGTTTCAGATAATGGGCCCAAGTTCACTGCCCTGGCATTTGAACAGTATCTAGCAGACAGGGGCATCCGCCACGCTTTAACATCGCCGGCTCACCCTGCGGCCAACGGCAGGGCTGAGCGAATGGTCCAATTCGTGAAGAAGACCTTACACAAAATGGAACATGGGGACATTGATGACAAGATAACCAGAATGCTTCTCCTCCAGCACATCACCCCACACAGCACCACAAACAGAACTCCGGCCGAACTCCTGATGGGCCGGAAACTTCGCTCACACCTTGATCGCCTACACCCTACCTACACACCAGAAAAGCCTTTGGGGTCCAGCAGCAAGTGTCGTGCGTTCAAGGTAGGCGACTTAGTCTTTGCAAAAAACTTCTCAGGTGACCCACTGTGGGTCCCTGCTACCATAACTCAACTCACCGGGCCCAGATCCTACCGTTTGCAAACGGATGATGGAAAATTATGGAAGCGCCACATAGACCAGCTTCGCTCCAGACTGGCACCTACGCCCATCTCGTCCCCTGAATCCCAAACCGGGGGGGGAAGGGACATCGAGGAGGCCGAAGAAGAAATAACAGACGACCTAACAATTGGAACTCAGCAGCCTACACAAACAACCATGGGATACTCACCTCCAGAAGGAGAACCGAACCGGGTGATTGCCTCACCACGTAGCAGCACCGCGATGCAAGCGAATCCAAGGAACCCCGATGACAGCATTGGCGAGAGCGGTGAGGACAGCCCCGAGTCACACAACGGAGCAGCGGGACCGTCTTCGCCATCCAGCTCAGCAAGCAGCCCACCGGAACCAGAGAAACCGGTGGAACAGCGCAGGTCAAGCAGACAGGTGAAGCGACCTGCCTACTTGCGAGAATACGTCACCCCACCCCTAAGACGGAACCTAGGGGGGAGGGGTGTTACGAACTAAGCTAACACGTTCATTAATAACCCTAATAGTTTTACTTCAACAGCAGGCTCGTAATCCTGCACTTCTGATTGGCCCGCGAATAGCGAGTCGTGATTGGTCGCTTCTGGCTGATCTGATTGGCTGACAGCGGGTCGCCTCTGATTGGACGCTTCTTAGAGCGGTAAACTCAAATCATTGGTTGTTTTGACAGCAGCCAGCTCTATAAAAGAGCTGCTGCTGCCCAAGTATTTTGCTCTGTTCTGAAGTCACTAATAAAGAGTTGAAGTCACAGTTCAATGCCTCGTCTCCGTTCCTTGTGCCCATGCTCAGGACTTAACAGTCTTCATGCTCTTAAGCAGCAAAAAGCCTGGACAAAGAGCCACACTCACACACTTTGGTTGGAATCAGGGCTGGGCCCAGCCTGAGGCTTTGCCCCAAACATCCTTTTTCACTCCACAACAACCTGATAAAAGGCCTCAACAATTTAATTCACCACCCAAATGATATCCAGATCAGGGCGGGGGTGGGGGAGGGGGGGAGGCGTAACTCTTCCAATCGCAGCCCAGTCAGATGCTTTATCTCATCCATGAGAGGAAGTAGAATATGCCTTACTGCTTCTGGCTACCAAAATAAATGAGCAATACTCCTGTGCACATCAGAATGTATATGGGGAGCTTTAGCTGATGCCTGCCCACTCCACATCATCAGTTTGTCCTGAGAAAAACATGACTGCAATCAAGCATTGGAATGAAATTTTTTACGGCTGGCTGAAAATCATTCCAGTGTGAGAATGCTGAATTTTTACATGCAAATCTTGGGTTTGTAGTGGAATCTCCATCTAGAGCAGGGGCCTACAACTTGGCAACTTTAAGATTTGTGGATTTCCACTGCAGATTCCTTAGGCAGTTGAAGATCACAAGTCTTAAAGTTGCCAAGTTTGGAGGTGCCGTATCTAGACCGGAGGGAGGCATTAAGCAGAGGTGACTAACAATAAATCTACTGTTGAGACTCTTCACAAGTGGTTCTGGTTGCTTTTGCCTGAAGGGTGAATTCATCAAAGCTTCATGAGAATTAGAGCTCTTGTGCAATTTTTGGTGTTGACAGGAGGTGACAGCACTTTATTATCAATTCCTGTAATGGCATCTAGTTTCTGAGAGGAGTGCAAATCCTTTGCTAACCATATTGTGGCTTATTTGGCTTGTGACTTAAAATGCTATGTAACCCTAGACCTGTTTAACCAAACTTATTTTATGACCACAGTAAAGCAAATTGGGCCCATGGGCCTGTACCTCTTTCTTTTCCCTGCCCCTTTGCAAAAGTATGCTCAGATGTAAGGCCCGTTAAGAGCAGAGGTGCTTGCTAAATAATATAAAACAATACAAAATAACGGAGTGTCCTTTTAGGTACTTTCATGAATCCACTTGTTTCCCAGTCTTCACTTTTGTCACTCACAGCAAGTTCTTTTGCATGTTGGTTGCTAGTTGTTGGTTCATAGGGTCGTCGGGTGTCATCTGAGGGGCTGCTGAATGGCAATGATTTGAATACATGACTATGTAGCCATGCATAGTTGGCAGCTTCTGACTGGATCAGATCGCCAGTCATAAGAAGGAAAGCCCTCTTGCCATCAGTCCCTCACCCAGGCAAGGACAAAGGCTCCGGGACCTGGTTGGACTGGGAGCCCTGACACCAGCCACCCAAGAAAATGCCCTTCCTGCTTCCAAGTGGCCGAGACAGGCTCTGCCCAGCCGCCCCACCACTCAGCCCAGCCCAGGTGCCGCCTTCCAATTGGTCCTGGTGCCTCTGGCTCTCCTGGGACCCAGCCAGCAGCATCGGAGCCAGATGGAGTCAGCTCCCACGTCTTAGGAAAAAGAAGGCATGCAGCCATGCATAGATCCTGGGCATTTGACTCAAACCCTAATTGTCCACCAGTGCCAGTCCATAGATCAGGGGACCCCAAATTCAGAATTCTGTTGAAGTCCACAAGTCTTAAAGTGGCCGACTTTGGGGACCTCTGCCATAGAATGAAATGCTCACAGGCTAAATACATGAACGTCCATCAGTTACTCCCGCCTGTCTGCAGTTCTTTCCTGGGTTGGGTGTTTGGTGCAGCAGAGTGGCCGCTTGAAGACGGTGGGCGTCAACTCCCAGAATTCCTTAGGGGCTGGCTGGGGAATTCTGGGAGTTGTAGTCCAGTCTTCAAGCGGCCGAGTTGAAAAGCACCCACCATAACAGCGCGAGCTAAGATTCAGCGCTGCCAGCACAGCCTCCTGCCTGCCTGCAGAGGGCGCCAAACGCCACGCCAGATTGCTGGGGGGGGGGGGGGGGGGCTGCTGCATTGTGGAGCTTCCGGACGGAGCGGGCAGTCGAGAGATGGGCAGGTGGCGCTAGAGCGACTTCGAGCGAAAAGTGGGCGGAGCGACGGGAAGCCAGCGGAGGAGGGAGACAAGTCCAAATAGACAGCTGCTTGGATACCGAGCTTCTGGGTACACCTACCAAGAACAGTTCAGAGAAGCTGCAATGGCTGACGTGCTTAATAGCGCTCCAAATTAAGGAGGGCAGCAAATCCCAATGTTTCAGGAAGGTTTCCTGCCCGTTGAAGAGTACATGATCCTGGTGGTCCAACCCCACCATGCTCTGACTCCAGATGGACCTGGTTGGTCCCCAATATCTAAGCAGAACCTGGCTAGGATATTTCCCTGGAAGGGAAATACGAGGAAATCCCGGGGCGGGTCCCAGAATCAAGCAGGAATGCAAAGTGCCTGGCGGGAGGTCCTGGGCAGAGCAACCGCGAATTGCTGCCCCATTTACCCCGAGGCTGCCGGAAGGGCGCTCTCGCTCTCGAGAGAGAAAAAACAAATCAGCAAGGAGCCCGGAAGTGACCGGCCAGCGCCCTTATTTAAAGGGCGTGGCCGTCCGACTCTGCGGCCCTGCGCGGGGGGGGGGGCGCTCTAGGCTTCCATCTTTGTGCGGGCGAGGGGCGGTTGCTAGGCTGCGCGCAGGGCCTACTCGGCCGCAGGAGCGGCGCGGCGGCGTGGCCGTCCGGCAGCCGCGTCGAGTTGGGCGGTGGGGCGTCATGGCGGCTTCGCCTCCGTCGGAGTCGCGTAGCGCGGATGGCCCGGGCAGCTGCGTCCTGTGCTGCGGCGAGCTGGAGGTGGTGGCCTTGGGCCGCTGCGAGCACCCCATCTGCTACCGGTGCTCCGTGCGGATGCGGGCGCTCTGCGGGGTCCGCTACTGCGCCGTCTGCCGAGAGGAGCTGGCCCAGGTGAGCGGCGCCCGCCGGGTAGGGGCGGCGGAGAGCGGGACCGGCAGCCGCCAGGCCCCGACCACGATTCCCACGGGCCTGGGCAGGGGAGCGCCGGGGCCGCTGCCAAGGGCCGGGAGGCGGCTGGAGCGGAGAGCCGCCTCCTGTGGGCGCTGGACCGCGAGGCGCCCTCGGGAGTAGCGGCCCGGAAGGGCTTCCGGCGCCTGCTGGGGCCGAGCTTTGGGCCGACCGGGCGGATGGATGGGGGGGGGCAGAAGCGGCGCCCCTCGCCTCAGAGGCCCCCGGCCGCTCTCGAGCGAAAGGGCCTCCTCGCCCGGCCCCGATCGCCGCCCTCGGGTTGGCCTTGAGGCGGGGGCAGCGCACTTCGGTCCTCGGGAAGAAGGCAGCAAGCCGGGACTGGCGGTTTGGGAGGTCGGTCGGCCGGGGCTGCCCCGAAGCGGAAGCGCTTCCTTTCTAAGGGCGAGCCTGGCGCTATTTGGCCGGGGGGGCGGTGAGAGGAGGGCGCCGCCTTTGGCCTCTGCGCTCCCCGGCACAACCGAGGACTCCCTGCTCCCCGTCTCTCCTCCTCCTCCTCCTCCTCCGGAAACGAAGGCTCCAACGGCAACCTCGGTGGCGGAGGCGGGCTCAAGAGCTGCAACGTGAGCCCCCCTCATCCCATGCTCTGGAACGATAAAATAGCTTCTTCCATTATCCGCTTAGGAGAAACCTGCGGGGCTAATTGACTTTGGCTTCAGCTCAGCCTTGGACCGAAGAGCTAGTGGCCGCCTTGCTCAACGTGGCATTTGGACAGCCCGTTGGGGGGGGGGGGGCTGGAAAGGGCTGGTCAGCCGTTTCGGCTCCAAGCGAGAGAGGTTTGGAAAGGGGGGGCCCGGGGTTCAGCCCTTCAGTGGTTGTACTAATGGCTGCCCGACGTTCATGGGTTGGAGAGTGAGGGGAACGCTTGCCAGGGGAGCGGCTGATAGGAAGCTGAATGGGAGAGCCCTAGAAGACAGAAACACAGCTCCAAAGGATCTCGTGGAGACCTGGGCTGGAAACAGCAGTGAAAATCAATACACAAATTTACAAAGACAAAATCAAAGGCTCGTAGCATAGAAAATACTTAATTCCTCTGATAAATAATCATATGGTTTATTTATTTGCTTCTCCAAATGAATACAGAATAATTTGTATTATTTGTCTGTAGTCTTATCTTTTCTAAAGCGGCCTTTTCTCTTAGATGCGATAAACTGCAGTTCTTTGCTAGGCAAACTGGGAATTGCCATCTAGCGCATTTAAAGGGCACTGAAGTGGAGGGAGGAAGCTGGGTTAATAATGCCTTGGCTGTGATTCCAACCTTCACTGATCTCCTGGTCCTTCTCACTCACAAAATTAAATCTTCCCTGATGAGAATTGGACCTAGCAAGATTTCTGCTCATCTGAATTTTGTCATCCGACTCCTAAAAATGTAGGGTTGTTGGATTATGCAGGGAATTTTTTTTAGTAATCTTCTCTACTCAATTCTATAATTGCTCAATGTTTTGAGTAGCAACATGGGATTTGGCACACACCTGCTCAGGTGTGCTGCTCTGCTGGGCTTGGAACCCTCAGTGCGTGTCAAAAGGTCACCATCCCCAAACAGTGGCTTCTGTGAATTGGGGCTGCTAGAATTCATGTGTCACCCTGTTTTGTGTCATACTGAGGGTCAGTTTCTTGACTTGATCCCTCTCCAAGCAACTGAGTCTTCTCTTCTGTACTGAAAAGCCCTATACAGCCTCTCTCTGTTTAGTGGCTACCTTCTTTAGCAACCATTCACAAATACAACAGTATTTTTTTTAAAAAATCATTTTCTGAGTCATGGGTGCAGTTATGCCCAAATTTCTGCACACCTGACACACACAGGAACGAGAGTAACATTGATGCTGCTCATTAGAGAACTTTTTCAGTCTCACGCTCAGATTTCCCACACTCTGTTTCTCTTTCTCTCCTGTGTTTGTTTAGCAACCATTTCACTGCCAATTTAAGGACCAGATTGCAATCACTAAAGAAAGAGGGAATAAGAAATCCTTGCCAGCCCCAGTGCAGAACCAGCCTTTTCCTTGATATTCCTGAGATATTTGGGAAGCTGCTTGATACTGTAGTTATTTCAGCAAAGAAGTATGAACATGAGTGGAATAAATGCTGTCAATGGGCTTCTAGCTAGGGATGTCCCACTGTGGAGCTGTGGCTATTTATGCAGCTTCTTTAGGGGGGGAAGTAATGATTTTGGTGGGGGAGGGGCGTCTCCTTGCCTTCCATCCAGTCACTTTTGCACTGGAAGTAGCAGCTGCTTAGTTCTTGTTTGAGAATCAAGGTCCAGTGAACTCTTTTTCTTCTCTTGGGGAGGCCTTTTGCCTCTTGGCATTCCAGACTTTTCAGGTCCCCGTCTATGAAACAAGGTACATTTGCATAGTTTTACTTGAGGTGAGGAAACGGATCTGAAAAGGCATTTAGCAGGCCGGACTCTGGCCTGCCCCAGAAAGTCTGAGGGGACCCGCGGTAGAGACTGACGTTGGGTGTCCACCCGCAGAGCTTGTGTCATACCTCATTTATACATTTAACAAATAACGCTAAACCATGTAATCACATTTTATACTTATTTATATAAATATAAAAAATATATAATTCATTATATATGAATTGTAGAATGATTTCCAGTGAAAGGTGGTATGAAGGTATAAGTAAGGTATTTTCTAAAAGCTTTTTCATTGTAAATGCAGTTTTTTAAAAATTAAAATAAAATTGGTAACAGGAAAAAGAATGGGATAGATCCTCAAAGAGAAAATTCCATGCTGGAAAGAAGCAAAAACTATATCATTATTTTCCTTAATTGTGATCTGGCTTTTCCCCCTTTGTGTTTGTAGCACACTGTTGTGTTGTTGCTCCTTTTCTGTGTCAAAATAGAGTGTGGGGATCTTGGGCTTTCCTTGTACTGGCAGGATTTTGAATGTCTGTAATAGCAAAGTGGGTTAAATTTGGAGTTGGGAGAATACCCCGTTTTGTGGCCAGCATCCACCCAGCAGTGCTGTGGCAGGCTGGGAGAGCAGCTCCCCTCTCTCTCCCTTTGCAGCTGCTTCCTTTCTGGCCTTTCCTTTCAGGAAGGCTCTTGAGCCACTTTGGCCCGTCTGGCTCAGACCCATTCTTGCCCACGGTCGTTGGCAGTGAGTTTTCAGAGACGTTCTGCCTGTTTGTTCCTCCTCCTCCTCCTCTGCTACTAGGGAGTGCTGGGGATTAGGCTCGAGGTCTCTTACACAGCAGTCTTAGGTTGTGCTACTGAACCTTTGCATCTATAAGGAAGAGAAAAAAGAAGGAGGGAGCATCCTTGCAACCTCCGGACCACTCGGGTTGGTGAGCTGAAGGACCAGTTCCTTTCAGTCTTTGTGTGTCTCTTCTGGCGCAGAGGGTGTGTTTTGTGTGGGCTCCACGATCTCTGACCTGAGAGGTGTACAAAGACCCTCAGTCATTACGAATGGTGGGTGCCCTTGGCTTGTGGTCCCCGTTTTTGTAGAAGAAGGTCTCTCTCTGTAGCTTCTTTTGCTCCTGATTGTTTTCCTCCAGTCCTCTTGTTCTGTTGGGCGCTTTCCCCTTGTGTCTGATTGAATGATGCATCTCATTTGTCCCTGGAAAGAGCGTGTCACTAGCCAGAGGCATTTCCTGTCTCATAATGTTTAAATTGTGGGAAAGGGAACCTCAGCCAAGCTGAGCAACAAGTGGATCTCTAACTTTCTTTTAAGCTCCCATGAAATGGATGAAGTGTAACCTCGGTGGTCTCTTCAGAATAATGAAAGCCCCCCCCCCCCCCCCCCCCCCAATCTTGAATGCTGTTGTTGCTAACCTGAGGTGTAGGAGTCTTGCATTGAGTTAGTGTGATGTCTCCCTTGGAGGACGACAACTCTGACTTCCTGGGAGGAGGAGCTCATTCCTGGCACGTCAAGAAATGGGTGAATTAATAACTCTGAATTGCCGGTGGAAAGAGATTTACAGGAGGCTTCAGGGGAGGCTTTGGCTGGGGACAGCTTGCAGGTCAGTGGAGAGGAGGAGGAGCTGCCTTCCATGGTGGATCTGAGAGCATGCAGGGTAGAGAAAAGACGAGCCGTGGAGATTTGCCAGATTACTGTTGATGGGCTGCACCGGAAATCTATTTATCACAGTGGGCAGAGGGAGGCATTACTAGGAATAACGTGTTGGGTTTATGGCTGTGTGTCTATTTCAGGCTTCCTGCTTGACTTTGTGCCTTGGAGATTGAACTTCTCTTACCAACTGAGCTTTCATGGATGTATGTACTTTCGGTTTTGCCTGGTGGATTTAAGTTTGTTTGGTGGACTTACTTGTTGGAGCAGCTTTCTGTTGTTTTATGAACTATCGCCCATTGCCTTGTGGACTAATCTTGGTCTGCTTGTGGCTGAATTTATTTGGGACAGGGAACTGTTGGGGAACATTAATAAGCTCTCTAACTCACACTTACATGTGCGTGTGTGAGTGGAGCGGCACAGTTTGGGGAGAATGAGATTGTAAGGGAGGGGAGGCAAACATTTGGCCAGTGGGCTGGATACATCCCACACAACCTCACATCTGTTAGGGCCAGGCAGGACATCCATTCCACCCACAAAACTTGTGGGACAGAAGGCAGTTCACTCAAGCTGTTGCCACCATGTGGCCTTTCTTTCTTCAAGAAGACTAGAAGTGGAAGCGTACTCTGCCTTTCCACGTGATGGAAACCTGGACTGATCCTTTGCACAGAAAGCCTGGATGAGTCACTCTCCAGCCCTTCATCAAGAAAAGCACTTGGGATTGGAGGGAGGGAAATAGAAAGTGATTATGCCTTTTCTATTTCCGGTAGAGAAGAGCTGAAAAAGAGCAGAAAATTCCGTTCTCACAGTCCCAGCCTTGAAGACAGAGGAATAGATCAAGAACACAAGAAGCAGTAGTACCGCTTTGTAAGGCCTTGGTAAGACCACACTTGGAATACTATGTCCAGTTTTGGTCACCACCATATAAATAAGATGTTGAGATTCTAGAAAGTGTGCAGAAAAGAGCAACAAAGATGATTAAGGGGATGGAGGCTAAAACATACGAAGAATGATTGCAGGAATGTCTAGTCTAGTGAAAAGAAGGACCAGGGGTGACATGATAGCAATCTTCCAATGTCTAAGAGGCTGCCACAAAGAAGAGGCAGCCTCTTATTCTCCAAAACACCTGAGGGCAGGACAAAAAGCAATGGATGGAAACTAATCAAGGAGAGAAGCAACTAAGGATACATTTCCTAGCAGTGAGAACAATTAATCAGTGGAAGGGGTTCCCTTCAGAAGTTGAGGGTGTTCCATCAACGGAGGTTTTTAAGAAGAGACTAGACAGCCGTTTCTCTGAAATACTGTAGGATCTCCTGCCTGAGCAAGGGACTAGACGAGAGAGCCTTTCAAGGTCCCTTCCAACTCTGTTATTCTATATTCTCTGTTCTATGTGGCAGTTGCCCATACCTTGCTGGAAAGTATAAGGAACTCATTTGCCTTATGCTCTGTGCTTTTTCAACAACTGCCCAAGTTTAACCTTCTTATTGCAGCCATCAAACAAATTCTAATTCACTGAAAGCAAAAGTTGAACTTCTCAAGGTGCCTGTGTATTAAATAGCTGTCAGAGGTGCCCCATGGAGCCTCCTTGTGCCACAAGCTGTTTGGGGCCTGGACATTCTGTGTCCCTTACCTCTCCCCACTTCTCTCTCCACAGGTGGTTTTTGGGAAGAATCTGCCACCCTTTTCAACAATCATACTCAGCCAGTTACAACATGAGAAGAAATACGACATCTATTTTACTGATGGAAAGATTTATGCTCTCTATAGGTAAATGTTCTCTTAGGGTAATACAGGCATACTGGCCAGTCAGCAAAGAAACTACTATGGTTTTCATATCGGCTACATTTCAAAATTGTCTGGAGGGTGGATGAAATGAGTGGATTTTCCAGGAGAGTCTGGGCAGCGCTTGCCAGAACCTGTAGCAACTGTTAGGCTGGAAGCGATCAAGAAATACGTCTCTCTCCGAGCTCCAATCAGCTCCAATGAATTAAGAAAAATGTAAAGTGAAAAATATGAGAATTCTGACCAATACTTTTGCTTTCAAATGTGAAATATTCCGTGTGTATGTTGAGAATTTCCCCTGTCCCCAGAGTCTCTTACCCTCTGGCCACGAGCCTTTTTATCGGAGTCAGGGAGGCAACTGAGCAAACTGAGAGGAAGCTGCCCTTGCACTGGGCAGAAAGGACGATGCTGTCAGGATTCCTTACTTAGTTAGCTTTTTTCTTTTTCCCTTGCAAAAGCTTGCATTTATGTATTTATTACATTACCACCCAGAGACCATAGGAAAGGAAGAAAGATGGGGGGGGGAAGTATTCTCGGGGAGGGAAAGATGCCCCAAGGTTTGAGGACTGGTATCAGTGGGTGAGGCACCCTGCACTCTATGGCTGTTGTCTCTCGTGTGTGTCTCCTTTTCCCCTCCTAGGAAACTCCTGCAACACGAATGCCCGCTGTGCCGGGACTCCCGGGCCTTTCCTGCCATTGTGGAGTTGGAGCAGCACATGAGGAAGCAGCACGAGCTCTTTTGCTGCAAGCTCTGCGTGAAGCACCTGAAGGCAAGTGGCGGGGGGGGGGGGGGGGGGGGGGGGGACTTGGGTCTTGAGGGATCCATTTCTATTGAAGACGTGAAGGCCATTCCCTCTTACATTCCAGATCTTTACATATGAACGCAAATGGTATTCACGCAAGGATCTTGCTCGGCACAGAATCCACGGGGATCCTGATGACACATCTCACCGAGGACACCCCTTGTGTAAATTTTGTGATGAGCGATATTTGGATAATGATGAATTACTAAAGCACCTGAGGAGAGACCACTATTTCTGCCACTTCTGTGACTCTGATGGAGCTCAAGAATATTACAGGTCTGTGACTCCAGCTGACTCCCAAGATTGACGCTAGAGAGTAAGAAAGAAGACTTTGACAAAAATATTCAGATGGCTCAGGCAGATGCCTCCCTAATTCACTGAACTCCAGAAAGCACAACATAATCAGTCTTGTAATATTTGTAATATTTATTGAGCCAGTCTCAATAAAAAATAGATTTAGCCTTCCAGGGAATTGATTTCCTGGTGGGGCTGACAGCAATCTTGATGCTGTAATTCCTCCTCCTTCAGTGACTTAGAGAGGTGCCTGCCTGAGACACTTCTGTGTGTTGTCTGGTCCTGGGCTTTGAAAATGTTCCAGTAACTTTGGCCTAAGTAACGTGTCCTGTATATTTCCATCAAGACCTTCTTCACTGCTTATAGTCACAGCCCCCTACATTTAGGGCCTTGATACAGATGGCTTGTTCCTTTGGTAGATGGGGTATAGGTCTTCGGATGCTATTTTTATTTTATTTATTAAATTTATATGTTGCCTGTCAAGAGCAACACTGGGCAGCTTCCAATGCAGTGCAATAAGAATGTAACATTCAGTTAGAAATATGGAAAACAACCCCAAGGGCTCAGGTGGAGCAGGAGTGGTACCTCCTGTCCCTGACCCAACCACTTCCAGCCTGAAGCGTCTCCATGGCACCCAGGCCAGCCGGCAGAGCCAGGTCTTCAGGCAGGAGGGTTGACCTCACTTCCGCCAGCAGAATGTTCCCAAGGGCAGGGACCATGTTGGGAAAGAGTCTTTTCCTAGACCAGGGGTGTCAAACTGGATTTCTTTGAGGGCCGGATTACTTCTTGGGGGGGCGGGGGGGGAGACAGATGGGACAGACTCTTCCTGCAGCACCTGCTGGCCAAAATGCCCCCCCCCCCCCCCCGGTGCCCTGTTTTGGCTGCCAGAGGCACAGCAGCAGCCCAGTCCTTTGCCATTTCCAGGCCGGCGCCACAGGCTAAATTTAAGCATCCTGCAGGCCGAATCCGGCCCACGGGCCTTGATTTGACAGCCCCATCCTAGATCTTCCAGCCAAAATTCATTGTGTGATCGGATCAGCAGCAGGCCTCTTCTGCTGGAAGGCATGGGATAGGCCAGTCTGGCCACCAGTACAACCTTCACGTCCTGGGTAGACTTCAGATGTGTGAACTCGCTCTTATTCTTGGCTACAATGCTGGGAGGGTATCCTGGTTGAGGCGAGGCTATCACAATCCTTGCTCACATTCCATCTTTGACTCTGGAACAGTTGGCAGTTTCCCCCTGAGCTGGCAGTGGGTGGGAGAGAGACAAGAGCAGCTCACAGGAGGACGTGCTGTGTCCTGCCTTGCCCCAGTTTACAGTCTTCATGCTGATAGTCAAGCTAGACTCATTCTTTCCCTTTTATTTACTTACTCAGTATGGTGTTAATCTGACTAATTTTCAATATTCTCTGGAGAGATTGTGGTTCTTTAAAATCTGAAAACTAATAAATAGTGAAGTTTACAGGAAACAAAATGTATAAAGTGCCACTATTTTATTGTAGTGGAAGTACTTAAAATAAAAATTAATTCAAGAATATAGGTTCACAGGAAAAGGATTTGGATGTTCTACTAGATCACAGGTTGAATGAGAGACCATAGCATGGCGTAGCTGCTAACAAGCAAGCACTGGTTTGAGATTCTGTATTAACAGAAACTTAAAATCCAGATAATGGGAAGCAGCTGTTCCACTAGAGACTCTGCTCTCCCTCAGTTTTCCCGGGGAGTTCTGGGCCTGGTCAAGAGAAGAGCTGCTCAGAAGGAAAAGTGGACCTATGAGAAGCCATTTAAGAAGCTTTCTATACCACGTGTAGCCTGTGGGTTAGCAGCAGACGCTGCATAGGAGGAAGGTTGGGGTTGGACTACTGGTCTTCTGTCCCTCCTAACTTTATGGTAAGAAATACCTGTGAAACAGGGAGCATTTTAAGATTTGAACTGAAAATACATTCCTGAGGTTGCAGGATGGTCCCAGAAACTGGCGCAGTGGAACAGCTTTGGGGTGACCTCCCTTTCTGCCTCCGTCTGAGCACCTCATGCGCTGCATCTCTGTCTTGCAGCGATTATGAGTATCTCCGTGAACACTTCCGGGAGAAGCACTTCCTCTGTGAAGAAGGTCGCTGCAGCACCGAGCAATTCACCCACGCCTTTCGGACCGAAATCGACTACAAAGCACACAAGACGGCTTGTCACAGCAAAAACCGGGCCGAAGCCAGGCAGAACCGGCAGATTGACCTTCAGTTCAACTACGCCCCCAGACACCAGCGGAGAAACGAGGGTAGGCTGGGCGGAGGGAGGGCAGGCGGCCTCTGGGGGCTGCGTCCTCACCAGACACCACTGTTTTTCTGATGGGCTCTTTCATTTACTCCCTCCCCATTCCCTTGAGAACTCTACTTCCTCCTAGGACAGAAAAAGTAGAGAATGCCTGCTCAAGGTGTTTGGTGAAAGATGCCATTTCCCCCCCCCCCCCCCCCCCAAAAAAAAAAAAAAAAAAAATCTTAACTTTGCTGGTAGTTATGACCACAGTTGGAACCAGAATTTCCATCATAAGTAATTGTGGTCATTAATGGGAACCACTAACTTGCAGTTGTTAAGCAAATCCAGCTTCCCCAATGAGTTTTATGCCAGAGATCGTCAAAAAGAAAAAGAAAAAAAAGGCTGCAAATTGCAATCATGCTACAACTGGGTGTAACGTGAGCCAAGTGTCCAAACAAGATCCTGGGACTCTGGAGGCGTCCTGTGTCCAAGTACAGATCAAAAGTCAATTTTCCCCAAGGCCTTCGTAACTTTGAACTGTCACTAAACAAACACTCATAAGTTGAACACTATCTGTGGTATTTCAAAAGTCCACGTTTCTGTCCTGATGGGTTGAAGGATTTGCCTGCTAGGATGCCAAGGTCTCCTGCAATCCACTCTGACTAGAATAAATATGTTAGCTAACCTGACTTGCACACAAGTCAAGCCTAGAATTCAGCTTTCTTTTGTTTTAGTGTTGTGCTTATGTTCCAGGTGTTGTGAGTGGTGAAGACTACGATGAAGTTGACAGGTATAACAGGCAGGTGAGAGGAGGAAGGTCAGGAGCCCGAGGTGGGCAACAGAACAGGAGAGGCAGCTGGCGATACAAGAGGTAAGAGCAGCGGTTGTTGTTTGGGGGTTTCCAGGAACTTGGAATGCAAACTAGGAAGTAGCCGTTTGGCTTCAGGATGCAGTCAAAACCAGGCCAGGCCCTGCACAGAGAGGCCAGCATAGAGGAAGTTTGCAGAAAAAACTTCTCACTTCTCATGGCATAATCCAGTTTACCCCCCTTTTTTTTTTCTTTTTGTCTTGTGCTCTATAAGTTAACTTACAGCAATGCTTGCTTCAGTGGAAAACGTACTTTAAAAGATAGTTTTCCATTCCAGTTTCTGGCTGTGCTTAATCACGACTGGTATTTGGGGCAAAATCTGCCTTGAGCCCGATGTTCTGCATGCCACTTCTGGGCTCTGCAGCCTTTGCCCAGGAAAAGCCACTTGTGGCTTTTGCCCACTGAAAGGGAGGCGCCTGCACAGTTGCCCATATTTTGGCCAGCTCATTTGGTTCGCCTTCCTTGATGGTTTAGAACTGCAGGCCCAACACAAGAACTGAGTAGCAGGGCAATACAGGGAGAAGAAGGAGGAAGGGCAAGTTTCTACTGACACACTTGGAAGAATTCTTGAAAAGTATGAACTCGGTGGTATTTTTTGTAACCTTTCTGGTAACCTTTGGAGTCTCTATCGGGGAGGTGAATAGCATATAAATTTAATAAATAAATGCATATTGTCCAAATAACTGATAAAATGCTTTCTATTTGTTGGACTCAAACTTTCAGATGTGGCTAAGCAGATGCTGCCCTGATTCGCCTGCGTCCAAGAAGGGGGAGGGGAGGTTCAGCACAATCAGATAGGCAAGATTCTGCTCTGAAATAGCAATTTCAGCCATCCTGTGGACTGGATTTCCAAGTCTGGCCCATCAAGTTGGTCTGGCGTTGGTTGGGGCTGCACAGACTAGGAGTTGGAAGGGACCTTGGAGGTCTTCTAGTCCAGCTGCTGCTCAAGCAGGAGACCCTCTCCTATTTCAGACAAGGGGCTCCAGTCTCTTTTTGAAAGGCTCTAATGATGGAGCTTCCACACCCTCTGAAGGCAAAGCTGTTCCACTGGTTAATGGTTCTCACTGTTAGGAAATGTTTCCTTAGTTCTGGGTTGGTTCTCTCCTTGGTTAGTTTCCATCCATTGTTTCTTTTTCTGCCTTCTGGTGCTTTGGAAAATAGATTGACACCATTTTCTTCATGGCAGCCCCTCAAAAACTGGAGGACTGCTATCATGTCACCTCCAGTTCTCTAGTCCTTTTTTGCTCTAGACTATCCATACCCAATTCCTGCAACTGTTCTTCATATGTTTTAGTCTCCAGGCCTTTAGTTGCTCTTATCTGCATTCTTTCCAAAGTCTCAATATATTTTTGATAATGAGGTGACCAAAACTGAACACAGTATTCCAGATGTGGTCTTACTAAGGTTTGATAAAGCAGTACTAATACGTCATGTGATCTTGATTCTATCCCTCTGTTAATGCAGCCTAGCATTGTATTGACTTCTTTGGCTACTGCTGCACATGGCTGGCTCATATTTAAATGATTGTCTACTAAGACCAAAATCCCTCTCACAATTACTGCTTTTGAGCCAGATTTCCGTACTTGTACATTTGGTTTTTCCTGCCTAAGTGTAAAACCTTACTTTTCTCACCATTGAATTTCATTTTGTTAGATAGAGCCGTGTTCAAGTCTGTCGAGATCCTTCTGGATTTTGAGCCTTCCTCTTCCCTGCATCAATAATGCAGACTTTGAGAGGAGGTTTCAAGGATTGTCAGGCACAAATAACCAAAAATATCCAATGAATTCAAAGCACAGAAGATTTTATTGTTGCTGTTTTATACACAAGAATTTAATCAACTAACAATCAAAGCTAAATTGGTGCTAGATAAAAGTTGATGGAATTTGGGGGCAGGGGCTGGACTTGGGTGTCTTGTGGCAATGCAATGATTCTAAACTGATGAGACATTTAACTCCACCTTCCAGCTCAGCTGGTTCTTCTCCTACAGGGATTTCCTTCTGTTTAATGCAAAGTGCTAGCAGCAGCAGCAGGAGGTAGAGAGCATAAGTGCACATTAGCAAAAGGCCAAAGCTTCACTATCTGAAGCTTATCTGCAAAGGGACCCAAGCAGCGATGTTGAGTCCTACACCAAGAGTCCAGACATTAGTGGGTCGTTGGCAGCTGGTCCAGGATGAGAATGACAGGTGCAGGCACACAATCTAGATTAGATGGCTGTAGGTGGGCAGCTGTTGCTGGGCCAGGATGTAATTAAGGTCAGGGCTGATCATATCAGATGAGACCTAAGTGCCTTTGCTGCGCTAAATGCAGAGAGTAGCATGCTACGCTACAGGACTGTAGTCACCTGGGGTCATCTAGCAGCTGGATTGAGTCCCTCTGGACAATTGCCAGCCGAGTCAGCTTCAGGTTCATCACAGCTTCCCCAGCTCTGCCCCAGTCCTTGGAGTTTGAGCTGGGCTTGAGGTTGCATGTGGCCACAACAGCTTTCCATACTTGGATGGCTGGGAGGTCCCCTAGGCTAGATATTACAAAGCGGCTTCTGGCCAGAGGATGTTGTGGAGGCTGACATCACTCACTGTGCAAAGTGTCAATTGTGGGGCATGCCTGCTGATCCGTGTTCCAGAGGCAATGAGAAAGGGCGTTTTCCTTTTGCTGTGTTCAAGGGGGCAGCAATTGGATCTGGTTGTTGGGTCTCCCAGCTGGGATTCAAAGGTGAGGAGATTTCTGGGTTAGTAATTTCTTCCTGGTGTTTATCCATCCCCTTCCCCCATAACAGGTTGCCTTTCCTGCCTCTTGCCCACAACATCTTCGTATGGCTTGTTCCCCTCCTGGGAAGTGTGGGAAATACCTTTCTCTGACCTCTCTTGGTTTTGTTGATTTGAAAAATTCTGCAGAGAAGAAGAAGACCGAGATGTTGCCGCAGCTGTTCGGGCCTCAGTAGCTGCCAAAAGGCAAGAAGAGAAAAAACGGGTGGAGGACCAAGGGGACACCTGTGGCGCCAAGAAGGAAGATGCCAAAGATCCTGAGCCAACCATCTCTAAGCGAGGGGTGAAGCCTCCATCTGAAGAACCAGGTGAGCTCTGCCCCCAAAGGCTGTGCCGGGCTTTGCCTCAGACACACGGCTTCTTCCTGTTGGTGAGAGGATGGCCTTGCTGTCTCTTGTTGGGGTTCTCAGGGGCCTTTTGGGTAGATTGTCTCCTCTCTTTTCCCCAAGGGGCTAAGGAAGTGGTCCCCAAGGCTGCCCTAAGCCAAGATGACTTTCCTGCCATTGGCTCGCCAGCCGTGAATTCTGTGCAGAGGTGAGTCTTTGGTTGCATGGAAGAATGAACTTGCCACAAGATCAGGCAGGGATTCTCTCTTCTCCAGATGTGAGCAAGAGAGAAAGAGGTCAGAGGCCACACCTCAAGACACCTCTCCCTTCCCTAGTTGTGCTGGTCCTTTGCACAGGCGCCCCTCTTCCTCAGGCCAGCTTGACGCTTCAGAATGGAGAGGCAAAGGTCCGGGTGCAGGAAGGCTCCCTCCAGCCTTGGAGCCTGATGCCAGCGACGGGGAGGCTGCTTCTGCTTCCTCCACGGCTGCGGTGGGAAAGAACGCGGCCTCCCGTGGGAGCAGTTGTGCCTTTTTAGAGCCACATGGAGCGTTTGCCTTAAAACCTTCCTCAGCCCTCAAAGTACTTGGCTCTAGGCTGCCCTTCTGCTCTCCACCTTCCGAGCCCCCCGTGGCCTTAGCTGCCGCTCCCCCAAATACTGACGGATGGGCAGCTTTGCCTCTCGAGTGCCAAGGGAGGGGTTGTCCTGCCTACGTGCTTATTTCTCTTTCAGCTCATCTCCGCTGGTGCCCGTAAGTCTGGATGAAGAAGACTTTCCCAGGCTCTCCTTTTCCTCTGCTCCGCCCGCGGCCTCGGCCGCTCTGCCCTTGTCCTACATGGCTACAGCCCAAAGGACGGGGTTTCAGGAGGAAGACTTCCCCGCCTTGGTCTCCAGAGTCCGACCGAGCAGTAAGATGATGTCGACCCTCGCCTCGGCCTGGAGTGGGGGCTCCAGGAAGAACATGGGCCAAGCCATCACGGCCGCCGCCGGCCAGCCAGCCAGGAAAGGCCCCCCTCCCAGTGGCAGCCGAGCAAGCAAAAAGAGCAAGGTTGCATTCCCCGGCAGCGCTCAGGACGGCAGCGCATCCACTCCGGAGAGCCGCAGTGCGCCCACAATGGTGGACGTGTCCTCCTTGCTGGCAGCCTCCAACTCTCAGACGTTTGCCAAAATGGGTAGGAAGAAGAAAGTGGGGACTGAGAAGCTGAGCCCAGCCTCACCCCCGGTCTTGCAGGGGAGCCCAGCCGCCCTCCACTCTCCGGAGAAGGTAGAAGAAGAGGCTGAGCAGCCCTCCACTGTCGCTGCCGGTCCCGACCTTCCCAGCCCACCTGCCGCCCTGCTGAACGGCCACTCAGAAAAGGCCACGCTGGCGTGCAGGGCCTCCAAAGAGCCCCCTGGCCTTAAGAAGCCCCCCGGGGGTAGCCAGTGCCTATTGCCTCAGGAAGACTTTCCAGCCCTCGGGAATGCCGGGCCGCCCCGGATGCCTCCACCCCCAGGTAAGGGCTGCGGGTGCCCCTCGATCCCAGCTTTGGGGAAGGGCCTGGCGGAGCGGTGGGAAAGCCCAGTGCGGCTGTTGCATTTGGCTTTGGGAAGCCAGCCGTGCCCGCCCAGGTGGGTTGAGGACATTTGGGCCTTTCCTCAGCCCTGCAGCTGCTGGGTCAGGCTTTGACCCTTCACTCCGGGTCATCTGCACCTCCAGATCATCTGCCTGGGATCCTTTGGCAGGAGCCACCCTGGGATCTTGCCACATGGCTCAGACGTTTCCCACCACTGAATTGCACGGCCTTCTTGCACCTCTTGGCTTTATGAAATCTTTACTGAACTGGGATTAGGATTGGGGGGGCGGGGGGGGGGGCGCAACAAGAGCAAGAGTGGTAAATGGCCTGCGGGAGCCGTCAGTGCCTGCTCCGACTGCTGTCTAACTTTCTCCCTCCTATTTTATAGGTTTCAATTCTGTGGTGCTACTTAATAGCCCCCCACCCCCTCCTGGGCTGTCGGTGCCTCTTAGTAAACCACCCCCTGGCTTCACTCCTATTCCAACCACCAGCGTTTCAGAAAATGCCCCAGCTCCGGTGAAAGAGTAAGTGTGAGAGAAGCCCCTCAGGCTAGTTTTCTCAATGGGGCCAGGGAGGAAGGCCTTGGGGGCTGGGGAGAGGCCTCAAAGGGAGAGGCTGGGGTTTCTGCTCAAGGTTACAGAGATTATCTTTATGCTTGTCCATCTTATATTTATACTTGACAGCTTAAACAGCTGCTGCTAACATTTTGGAGCCTCTTTGTTCAGTGTGTTACTACTGCTTAAATTTACAAAGTCTTTCTTTCTGTAAGTGTACTGAAAATATTTTTTTATTGAAAGGAAGTACAAAACAAAACATAAGGGAGCAAGGAAGCTTCCTTGAATTTTGAGGACTACGTGGACAAATCTGCTCAGATATTTTTTAAAATGGAATAATTATTTATAATAATATTTTTGTCGGCAACATGCAAGTGCTATTAGAATTTCTGTGTGGTCTCCTATCCAAGGACCAATTTGCTTCGCTTCCAAGCTCAGACAGTCAACCAACTCCTGTCACCTGCTGAGAGTTTCTCTCTCCCTATCTCTACACGTCCTGATGTACCAATTGGCACCACCTCAAAACAAATCCATAATTTTTCGGGAGATGTATGACAACAGTTGCATGAGCTTGTGGACGAGTGCCACGGGGCTTCCTTGCTGCGCTCCGAGTCACTTTTTGAGTTTCAGATCTTCCATAGCTCTAACTTCTTGTGCCTGTTTTTGCCGCATTCTATAATGAGGATACGGGTCATTCAAATCAAGCCAGTATCTGGTCTTATTTTCTGAAGCAGCCTTCCCATTTCTTATAATGGGTTAGGGGGGGATATTGCAGAGAAGGAACCCTGGCACAACAGAGTCCTGAGCCTCCTCAGGAAGGAAGGCCCTTTGGACAGGCGTTGGCCTGAGACGCTTGGATTCTGGCCCTGGGCAAGTGGTGGCCTCTTCCACCTCTAGGAATCCTTGATCCTGGACTCTGGCATCCGGTTTAGGGATTTCATCACAGCTCCAAAGAACAACAGCAATAGATCACCCGGCACATCTCTGTAAAACTACCTATGTTTTTCTTTTCTGAAAACAGCCCCAAACTCTGCCAGGGACCCTATCTGATCCTGAAAAACTTCCAGCAACGGAACATCCAGCTAATTCAGTCAATCAGAGAATTTCTTCAAGAAGATGAATCCCAGTTCAACAAATTTAAGACATACTCGGGGCAGTTCAGGCAGGTAAGTAACCAGGGATTGATGAATTAATTTTCCAGCAACTTCATGGCAACAGCTGATGCTTGAAGGGTTTTCCCTAGAATTGTGAATCTGTCTTTAGGTGAACATTTCTTTGTGGGAAACTATTCATTATTGTTGGTAGAAGTGAGACTGACATAGTGATCAATCCCCTGGAATATTACTTTTCAAACCAGGTTAAGCCTCGTCAGTTCATGGATTTTTCCGACACAGGCCTGCGCCCTCATCTTATCTCTCTTCAGTTCACTTTCTGAAATTTTGTTGGGCTTTCACCTTGGCCAAGTTGGACCTGCCAATTAGGGGGAGCAGTATAAAGGCATTCTTTGGTGGAGCCGCCTTCTCTGCAATGGGAAGGAAGTCCTTGCAAATCATGTTACATCTGCTGAGAGTAGAAGTGCCTGCTCCAAGAGCAGAGAAAGGCCCGACTGCTTTGCAAAAGCCAGCCTGGTGCCCCTTTCAGGGAAAGAATTGGCCGGCAGTGGAGACTGTTGTGACTGTTCTCTGTTTCTTTCCCATACCTGTCTTATCTTTGAAAATTGGGGTTTCAGAGCTCTATCTTGGAAGCCCCCCATACAACAGCATAACTCTGCACAAACTGATTGATGGATGGATGATGTGCCATCAAGTCAGTGCCAGCTGTTATCCAGTACATAGACATAACCATCTCTCTTTAAAGTGGTCCTTCCATCACTCCCCCATTGCTCCTGGTCATCCCTTCTCTTTCCAGCATCGTAGACTTCTCAAGAGAACTACACATTCACATAATGATGTCTCCGAGGTAGAATAATTGGAGCCTGGACATTTGTGCCTCAAATGAGAACTCTGAATAGTTTGTCTGGTGGCCCATTGGTTTGTTTTCATGGCTGCTGCAGAAGTTTTCTCCAAGCCCAAAGTTTGAACATACCGGTATTCTTCCTATCCAGTTTCCTCAGAGTCCAGCACAAACTCATGTCAGGTCTCAAAATAGAGGTGTGCATTTTCATTCAGTCAAAGCCCCCCAGGGTTAGAGGTGTGCTTAGAGATCTGCTGAAAGCCAGGATCTTCTGGCATCAACAGGCATGGACATGCTCCCTTGGGTGTGCTCAATCACGTGTCTGGTTGAGTGAAACAGGCTAATTGACCAGTCTCCTGGGGGCGAGAGCTTGTGCCTCAGCAGAAGACTGGTGGGAAGTGGGACTTTTGCCCTTGATCCTGAGTAAGATCTAAGCGAGAATCGGATCTGCCTGCTGAGAGGAGGAGCCCTGCGGTTCTCCCTGGTGCGGGAGGCCTTCTCCCCAGCGAGCCTTTCTTTCTCCAGGCTTGGACAGTGAGGCCCCTTAACCTCAGAAGGAGACGGACCTGATCACTCGGGTAGAAACTGGGCATCGGCCCAGAAGAGATGCTTAAAACTAAACAGGGCTGTCATTTTAGAACCTAGCAGGAAAATCTGCTAGGTGCCTCTTGTTTTTATCTGCTTCTACTTCATTAAAAAGAACTTCAGATTTATGAATTACTCTGTAAGTCCATGAGAGTTGAAACCTTGACATCCCTAACAATCTGCAGTTGTGGGAGTTGAATAGATAATAGGCTCCGGAAGCTCTCAGAATTGAGGCTGGGCTCCCACAGGAGGGGACAGGAAAGCCTTTTGGGTTGCTTTGGGTGCCCTTGTCTGGCTGGGTTACTTCTTGCTCTTGTCTTCCTGCTGACATTGTATTCCAAGAAATGGTTGCAGTTTCCATGGCAAAATACCTGCCCAGCTGCTGGCCAAGAGACAAATGGCTGCCTAACCTCCAGAACCCTCACCATCTTGTTGGCTCTTGGTGCTCTTTCTAGGGGCTCAGCATCCTTTGTGCATTGTGGTGCCCAGAGCTGGACCCCGTGTTCCAACTGTGGCTTCCCCAGTGCAGCATAAAGTGGCACTGACACTTTTTGTGGTCTTGGTTCTATCCCTCTATTTTAATTGCAGCATTGACTTTTTTGGCAGCTCACGGCTGGCTCAGACTTCAAAGGTGGCCCACTAGGACTCCTAGATTGCTCTCCCGGTTACCGTCTGTTCTGTACCTGGGCCCTTGGTTTTTCTTGCCCAAGTATAAAACTGACTTTTCGCACCATTGAATTGCATTGAGTTGGATCGGGCCCAGCATCCAAGTCTGTCAAGATCCTTCTGGCTCTTGAGCCTGTCTTCTAAAGCAGGGATCCCCAACCTTTTCGACGCCGCGGCCCGGTTCCGGCATCAGCTGGGCGCCGCGGCCCGGTACCAGCGTCAACTGGGCACCGCCATCTTTTTATGACGAAAAGGCGCTTCCGGTAACCTCACCGGAAGCGCTGTTTCGTCAAAAAAGATGGCGGCGCCCAGCAACCAGCGGCCCGGTAAGGCTTGTTCCGCGGCCCGGTACCGGCCCGCGGACCGGCGGTTGGGGACCCCTGTTCTAAAGGGTTGTCTACAAATTTGATGAGTTCCGTTCCCTCGCTTTCTCCCGATGGAATCGCCAAATCCTTATGCAAAGTGGGAAAAGGATCTGCTTCTGGATGACTTCCTTGGCCATGGAGAAAAAACTTCCGTGGGATCCCTTTTCTTCATTCCTGCCCATAGGGATTGAGATTGTGCCACCCACAGTTTGTCTTGGCTCCAGTTCAGGCTTGGCTTTTTGCGTTTCTTTTTCCTGACTCTCTGATTTTCCTCCCTAGGGTCTGATTTCAGCAGAGCAGTACTACCAAAGCTGCCAGGAGCTCTTGGGTGAGAACTTCAAGAAGATCTTCAACGAGCTCTTGGTCCTCCTGCCAGACACAGCCAAGCAGCAGGAACTGCTCTCTGCTTACCATGACTTGAAGGCCAAAGCTCCAGCTGCCTCCTCCCCCTCGCCCTTGAGCAGGTCCAGGAAGAACCGAAAGGGGGTTTGGCAGGCAGAGCTGGCTTCTTCTGACCTTGACTGCTGCGTCTGCCCCACCTGCCAGCAGGTGCTGACCCAGCAGGACCTCACTTCTCACCAAGCCCTGCACCTGGAGGAGGACGAGTTCCCTTCCTTGCAGGCCATTAGCCGGATCATCAGTTAGCTGTCCCAGGTGACCAATAAAGTTAGTCTCCCTCTGAAAAGTGGCTCTTCTCAGGCGGGTTCTCTACCCAGGGGAGAGGAGCCAGCTGTGTGCGTGGGACCCGAGGAAGAAAAGCTTGAGGTGGGGGGGGGGGGGTGTTAAATGGTGACAGACCAAAGGAAGCTGTAGCTGTTATCCAAACCTGGGGGCAGTCCTCCTTCCCTGCAGGATAGGATGGAGCAGCAGGGTGGCAGGCACTTGGCTCACTGCTGTGGATAAGCATTAACTCCTGGCTGGCCACAGCAAGGATGCCAGGCAGAGGCGGCGGCTGCTTTCTGAAGAGGGGAAGGTTGGGCTTGGCTGCTGAGAAATAATGGAGGGTGGCTCACAGGCTCTATACAAAAGGATTCCAGGAGATGGGAGAGAGTTGAGAATAGTGACAGGTTTGGGCAAAGGAAGCTGTGTGGCCTTTTATCCTTCTTTCCCTCCTTCTTAACAGTGTTTTGTGGAGAGGACTTTGCTCCTTGTCCTCAGGCAGAAGAGTTGCCCAAGAACTCAGAATCTGTTTCTCTCGCGTGGTTTCTAAAGGAAACCTTGGCTCTTTCCTTCTGTTCTGCTAGACTTGCATGCAGGGAAAAGGTACCATTCAGGGCTTTCTTTACCTCTCACTGTTTTTAAGTGTGGATTTCTGTCCAGTGATGGGAGTTCAGTTATTTCCATGGTCTTGAGTGGTTGTGGCTCATTAAATGCTGCTCAGCAGTGACCACTTCCTGATGCCTCAGTGCCATCCTGGCAGGTTCTTGAAAAGGGTTGCTTGCCTGGATCTCTGCCCCAGTGACTTTGGATGCCCAGGGTGTTGCCAGCTGCTGTCCATGAGTTCTGTCCTCTTCCTCCTTATCCAGATCATCTCCAGTTCAGTTGCTTCTTGAGACAGTAAAGTTGGTCAGAGGCACCACTAACTTTTTACAGTAGCTTTCAAGAGTAGACATTAGAAATATGATTTGCAATTTTCTCTGTGTTTTCTCTCTCCCTCTCCCTCCCCTTTCTTACACACAGATACACACACCTAGAGCCACGTATGAGTATTCAAGACCTAGCACAGGCCCCTTGAAGTTTCGTTTTGTGGACGTGTGTATGTATGTGGTATATAACTGGATTGTGCTACTTCCCATTGCCTCTATTTAAAGGGGAAGACTACAGAAACCATTGGATGTCTTGCAAAGCAAAACTGAGTACAATCTACAGATCTGCCACATTAATTTTTGTGGGCTGGCTTTAATTGCTGAGGATTTGGTATTGCAGTTCCCTCAATTTTCAAGAGCAAAAATGGGCTGTTTTTTAAAGTCACAATTTGCAGAGCACTTTGTTGTATCAAGTTGGCCATTGAGTTCCAAAACTGGGCTCTGGAACTGGAATTGTTCATTCTTTTATGTTGGCAACGCTTGTAAGAAGACCCGTCGCCTCAATCTCAGACAAAGTTTAGTTTGTATTAGACAAAGTTCAATTTACTGTTTCTGAGTCTTAAAATTTGTGCTTTTCAGACAACCTTTTTCAGTTATTTCAACATTTTTCAGTGCAAGTATAATAGAATGTAGGGCTCTTTTCAACTTCAGCCAAGGTATGGGAGTGCAAATGGGAGTTCAAGGAAGTCCTCTCACCCTAAATGTGTTCATGGATCTTCTTTGCCCCTCCCCCCACCCCCCTTGGGGCTGTTTCTACTGGTGGGGACATCCCCTTTTCTCACTTCCTGAATGCTCTGCAATGAGACCTTGTGTGGCACGGAGGATTCTGCTCTTTGCCCCAAGCTCCTGCTTCTTTGGGCCTCTCCCTTGAAGGCTCACGTTGCAGAGTCTTACCATTGAGCATCAGCGGAAGACGAAGAAGCTGCTGCTGCTGCTCCTTACAGTGCCCCCCCCCCACGCCCCCCAAATTCAGTGGGACGGGGGCTCCTTTTGAACAAGACCCATCGGGTCTCAGGCTTGGATAGGAGAGCTGCTCCTGCCCAGTTGCCTGGCATCCCGGAATGCTTTTGCCACCTGTGACTTTAAAAGAACCCCGTTGGCTTGAGAGGATGGCCGTCAATAAGCCTGCACCAGCCGTTTGGATCCCCCGGTGGCCTCCCTTCCCCAGGAACATTTTCAACAAGTTTCAGGCTCTTCCTTTTAAGCTCTTTATTGGAAAATAAGTTGTAATCGCAACACCAACAGTTAAATTAGCACAATCACAGAGTAATCTGTTGTTCAAAATGTATAGCTATAATTATATACATAAAAATGTAAACATTAAAAAAAATTCACATGGTCCACTTTTCTGTCACAGTGCATTTTGGGCTACTTAAAGTGGCAACTTTTTTCCTGCTGTTGGTGATAAATGGAAGCCTCTTTGGTCTCCGAACTAACCTTGACCAGAAACACGGAGAAGCTCAAATGGCCTCGCAGCAGTTACAGGCTTTTCTCTCTCGTCCAGGGATCGCTCTCCTCCAGCCAGGCCTCGGCCAGTTGCGTTGGATTGCCAGGTCCGTGTTTTGGCCGGCCGCAGAATGGTTGCCGGGCTTAAGGGGGGGAACTGGAACCTAATGCAGGCAGGAATCCTGTCTGGGGAAATTGGCCGCCTGAGCTGCATTGAACAATGGGCTCCTCAGGCAAAGGAAGGCTGGGTTTTCTTGCTTGTGCAAGAGAAGGCCAAAGTCAGCAGGCCATGAAAAGGGAGGCCTTTGCAGCTGGGACCGATCTGAATGGAGAATTGACCGGTTTCTGTTTCTACAGCATTAACAACGAAAAACCTTTTCTAGATCGTCCTTGGAGTGCCAACCTGCCATTTGCTGGGACATAAAAGGGCCTGGTGGGTGGGCTGAGGAGGCTTCTCCGGAGACACCGCCCCAAAGGCCTCAGACTCAAAAGTTACATTGGGCGTGGGGCTCCCATGTCCCTGCCTGGACACCCACAGGAAACCTCCCCCACCCCACCCCCAGCCCTTCTGAAGTGGTAACGGTTTGTATTCCCAAGGCCCTCCATCGCTGCAAGGCTCTCTGGGAGCAAGACCTGGTGGGGCAGAGCAGCCTAGAGGAGGAAAGGGCAATGGCAGAGGTGCTGGCCAAAGGCCGAGGCTTTGAACCTATTCCTGGACTGCAGGCGGGGTCTTTTGGTTTCTGCAGAAGGAAAGCGGCAGGAGGGGGTGAGGGCGTTTTTGGCAGTGTGTAAATGGACACATGGGATGTTGTGTTGAATTCAAAGACAAAAAAGTGGAGAGGAGCAGGAAATGAATTCCCCCAAAGAAGGGGACAGGCAGCACTGGCTGCAGAGATCCACGGCACGACTCTGAGCCGGGAGTGAAGAAAACACTTGAGGGCGAGCTGCTCTTATGGCCTCCAGGATCTGCCGCTGGGGTCGAGTGCCGGACCATGGAGGGTTTGGGTCTGGCTTGGCCTTCCAACTGTCTTGTGGGTCGTCCTGCTTAAGCAGCATTTGGGTGGCTTGCGTTGCTGCTTCAGCTGTGGAGGCCAACCCTGCTTTGCTCCTCCACAGGACTTGGGAAAAAGGGCCGCCTTTCTTGCACCTTTGGCGGTGGAAACCACCACCCCCCCAGCCTGAGGACTGGGCAGGGCGCTCCTTTAGCACATTATTTGGGAAAGTGATAACAGCCTCACAAAAAAGAGTGTTAGAACTGGGACAATCCTAACGTATCTGGTTATATTGAGGAGGGGGTGTTCAGGATAAAGCTGCCAGTGAGAAAAAACAACCACTTTCACCACAGCTCAGGAAAGAATTGCCACAGAAAGTAACGTGGCTGCTCTGACCCATCTGCTACAAGTTTGTGCTGAGGAATTGTGCCTGGGTGTCGTTGGCCCTTGTCAGGCATGGGGAAGGGGATCCAGAGCGCCTGCACTTCCAGCCCATAAGTGGCCGCTGCCAATGCAGTGCTGGCCCAGCTGCCATCTTGGGGCAACCTTGCTCCCTCCCCCTGAGCCAGAATCGGGCTGAGGTGGGTGAGCGGAGCTTCTGGCTTGAGCCAAGGCCACTGTTTTGGGTTAGGCTGGCCCCCCCCCCCCCCCCCCCCCCCACAACACCGTGTCTTTTAGTCCATTCCGTTTTCAGTGCCAGCCTGAGTGGTGAATGCTGCATGACGCATTGGCACAGCTTTGCCCAAGCTACCGAACCGGTTCCCGCCTCTCCCCTTAAGCTCTGGAGGCTGAAAGGAAGGAACTACATGCGTAGGCAGCACGTGCATACATTCAGAACGGTAATAATCCCTAACACATAACAGTGACCAAGACATTTCTACCACTCCGACAGAACATAATCTCCCCCGTTTTTTCTTTTTTCCTTAGCACAAGGATAGTCTGAAAAGGGTTTCTTTATAGTTAGGAAAAAAGTACACTACTGAACAGACATTTATTTCACGTGTACAATCAAGAGAAACGTTTAAATATTTGATAATTCTGCTTCCGAGTCTGCAAGATTTCTTCCTAAAATGCTGAAACACAAGTTTTGTGGGCTGCTAACGTTGCAGTGTTCTCTCTAAGGAAAATACTGTATTGCTCAATTCTACCCTGTTTTAAAAACATCTTCAATCTTGCACTGCTTTTGAACTGCCAAGGCTGACTTGATCACCTTACAGAATCAAATCTGGTGTGTTTTAAGGCTGAAATAGGACCATGACCATTTTAACAGTCTCTGTAAAAATTTAGTGTATTGGTTGCTTACTATTTCTGTTTGATTTTCTGCCTTTCCCACTCCCAAGATATCTGAGGCAGCTAAAATATATATTATCTCACTTTCATGTTTTTTTGCACTTGGGAAAGTCTTAATATATTTAGATCTTTAAAAGAATACTGGGACACCTGTCTGTGCAGAAGGATCCTAAGACTACGTTCCCCTATTGCAGCTGAAATTATTTAAAATAATTTCTTTTTCCTATAAAAAAAAACCTGTTTCCATTCTCTGTTTTATATCAACTCAGTCACCTCAAACCCAACAACAATGTTTTGTTGTCTTCAGTGTTTCTGGTCCTTTATAGGGGAATTATATTACAAATATTTTTGTTTTTGAAACTTAAGGATCTCACTGTCCCTATGAAACGGTTACTTGAGTTGCAAAGGAAAGAGGAAATTTTCTCAATATTACAATGCTTATTATGCCCACGTGGATCTTTGTTTCGGAGTAAAGCATAGGTAGCCTCAACATGAGACATGGCTATTTTAAAGGGGTGGCAAGAATAACATTTTGGTCTCATTCGTATTGAAAAAGAGCGTGTCAAATGTCAGTAATCTTTACCAATATCTGGGGGGATATTGTCTGGAATATCTGAAACCCAGTGTCTGAAATCACGTCTCCACTGTTGACTTTGGGAATCCTCGCAACTTCCCTTTCTGATTTCTCAACAAGAATGGTGGTTCTTCAAAGAAGAGATCATAGGAGCCACCAAATCTTGAGATGGCACCTAGTTTGGCCAAATGCTACATTTCTTGCCATTGAAGAACTTTTATTGGTTTGCTTCCTATCTGGAACAAGGCTTAGCTTTTTAAGTGCACAATTTAAACAACAAAGTGTCCTGGAATACCAGAAACACACGTGTGCAGTATATACACATTTATTGTCCCATGTATAGCACTTACATACATCCAACTGTACATCAGAGAAGATAACACAGCTATTCTTTCTGGTATTTTAATTTGGCACATTCCTTTTTAACTTTTCTAAGTTCTTTCTACGACGAAAGAAAATTCAAAAGGAGGGAAAGAGAAGACAGAGATTTCTAGGAGTGTCTGGGAGAATTATTTTTTGGATTACCTTGGAAGTACTTGAAGTACCAGCTGGCCAGGAGAGATGGCTGGTCCCTTGGGTATTCATGACACCTACAAACAAGGAACAGGGCTTTGATCACGCAGTGATGGCTGCCATCTTGTTTTGGGGCTCACCCACATCCCTCTAGCGCCCTGTGTCTCGCCAGGTTTTTTGTGCACTTGCAGCCAAGTGTCAACACGACTAAATGCCACTGTAGTCAGGGAAATGGGAGTTACAGCTTTTCTAGAGTTTCCTGCTTAGAGGGAACACTGTTGCCCTTTTATTTCTTTTTAATACAAAAATAACCTTGGACAGATAAGACAATCACTGTACAGAATTCACTGCACCATTAGCTAAGAGTAAATTTAACCCAACACGTAACTTGCCACGTAAAAAAAAAAAAACAAGGAAAAGGAAAATATTTTTGAATACACTTGCAACCAATCTGTTGACTATACTTGCACCTTGTGGTATGTCAGCCCATTTTCCTGGGTCTGGTTTCGGTTTGCTCTGAAACCCCATCTGGGGGAGGGGCCACCTGCCCTCTCAGTAAGCTGGCACCTGGTAACCTTTGGGGCTGGTGTTCAGGGTCTCGGAGAACGGTGGGCTCTGGTAGGTTTCTGTGCTTTCGATGCCACCACTGGTGGGAGGGGGTCCCGGATATCCTGCCATGGGATCGGGGTCAAACTGATCTGTGGCGAAGAGAGACATGTCAGTCCCCATCCGGTATCTTTGGAGGGCTTTGATGGTCAGGGCAACCTGTAACGGCAAAGAAAAGTTTCTTAGGACTTCAGCTCTTTCTTAGGCCCAGGACTCTTCAATATCTTCGTAAATGACTTAGATGAGGGAATGGAAGGGGAACTCATCCCATTTGCAGATGACACTAAGCTGGCAGGAATAGCCAACACCCCAGAAGACAAGCTTAGGATCCCAAAAGATCTTGACAGACTTGAACAATGGGCCCCATCCAACAACATGAAATTTAATGAGGAGAAAAGCAAGGTTTTACTCCTGGGCAGGAAAATGAAAGGTACAAGTACAGATTAAGGGAAATCTGGTTCAAAAACAGTAACTGTGAGGGGGACCTTGGAGTCCTAGTGGATCATCACTTAAAATACTTTCAAATACTTTTAAAGATACTTTTAAATACTTCTAAAATACTTTTAAAGAGCCAGCAGCCAAAAAAGCAAATACAATAGTTGGTTGTATAAACAGAGACATAGAATCAAAATTAAGTGAAGTATTAGTACTGCTTTATAAACCTTAGCAAGACCTGTAGAATACAGAGTCCAGTTCTGGTCACCACGTTACAAAAAATATGCTGAAACTTTAGAAAAAGTGCAGAGAAGAGCAACTAAGATGATTAAAGGCCTGGAGATGAAAATGTATGAAGAACTTGTTAGGTATAACATTGATACCAAATATGGTTTGGGTGAATAAATA